ATTGAAGCCCAAGACAAAAAAAGAGCAGTAAACAAAAGGCCCCAATAGCACCCGAAGAGGCGATGCCCCTCTTGCCCTTCTCCCTGCCTTTCCCGGCACGATGACCAGGGGTGGCAGCTCCTGAGGAGACAAGGACATGGTGCCAGTGGAGGGAGGCGTGTGGAGAGTGAGGCCACCCGAGCCTGGGAAGGGCCGGGCCGCGGCGACGCTCACGGCGCCGTATGGAGCCATCGCAAGCAAGGCCGGCCCTGCCGGCGGGGCCTCAGCTGGAGCTGAGGCGCTCCATGGAGCTCGGTGACCAAACGCCACCCGTTTTCTTGTGGAAGCTCCCTGTCTCCGGAGCCCTGGCAGAGGGAAGGGTGGTGCGGGCCTCGCGCTCACTTCCGCTGTGTCAGGCAGATCCAAATTAAACAGAGTTTTAGAGGGTACTGACAATGATGTCTTCATTCGGTATCGTGATCGCTGTGGCGGCTTTAGCCCCGTGTTTGCTCACGGAATGATGTGCCAAGGCCTCGTCCTTCCAGCGCTCCCGGCAGCCCCTGGAAACGGGATACGGGCCTGCGGGAGGCCTTGGACAGGGCCGCAGGGCCAGCCGAGCAGAGTAGGGGACAGTGCTGGCCCCTGTGAAGACGCGGCCTCCCTGGTGACATCCCCAACATCGAGGCTGGGAAACATGAGGATGATTCTGCGCTCCAGAACCAAGGGCTGATGATTCTCGGGCCATGGTGGACCAAAGGACTTGCACTTATGAAATGTGAAAGCCTCGTAGGAGCTGGCAGAAGTCTTAGTCTTTATGTGACACCTGCGGAAGGGGCAGCTGGGGACAGAGAGCAAGAGGTACATCCAAATTAACACCACAGCCAGCAAAATCATCGTCAGAACGCAACTCATACAAGAAGGCAGAAGTAGCTCCATGCTGAGACATAACCCAGCTATAAATCACTTCTTGACAAGTCTGGGCAGGAGTTAGGTGGCCTCGCACTGTGGGCATCGCCCCTGGCAGATGGAAAACCGGGACCTGTTTGCTCAGTGCCCAAGTGGTTGCACGTTGCCACAACTTGGCTACAGGTTATGGTTACGTGCACGCGTAGGAGACCTGTTTCTCCTACATGAACACATAGGAGACGTGCAGATGGCACATCAGTCTTGGGACCGACCATTGGGAGCGTGGTGCCGCGGTTCTCTTACAAACAGCAAGTTGCCAACATCTTTACGAAGAATAAGCCCAACAATCTACCAATTGGCTATTTATTTTCTTTTATTTAATCGCTGCACTGAACCCCAATGGGATTTTTCGGTTTTGTTTTAATGGTAAACCAAGAATTTGCAGATCCTCCCCGTGGCGAAGTTACTTTCAAGTCAGTGAAAGTTCTTGGCCCATGATTAAAAGTCTTTGCCAATTAGCACTCAACAACTTCAATTCATTTTTCCCTGGTTCAAGATGAGTAGGAACCTAATAAGGCTGCGATAAAAGGGCAAAAGGCACCGAGTACCCAAAGGGGATTAATGGGCTCTTCCATTTATTTGTCTTCCTAACAGCTGAACTGTTACAACTATTGACAGTCTTCAAACGGCCCCGCGCTGAACCCTGCCCGCCGCTCTGGGCTCCAATGGACATCTTCAGATCCCCAGACCCAAGGGGCAAGGGCTTCCCCCTGTGTGATGCCAAAACCAACAAAGCCCCGGGGATCAGGTAATGAAACTTCAGCTTTTCCCCCTTTGAGATTTATTTACTGGCAGCTGACAAGGGGCAAATTCAGCTCGAATTGTGTAGTCAAGGCCCTGTCAAGCCTTCAGAGGCACCCTTATGTCGAATCACCTTCCTGACTGGCATGTCGCTGAAAAGCCCTCGGCGCTGGTCCTTAACAGCTCCCCACATCACAAAGGACACTCCAGACAGATGCCTACATGGCATCCTGCAGCATTTTAAAAGAGAATTAGTGGTTTTAATTATGGTCGTCGGCTGAAAGGAAACCATGCAAGCTCCACAGGAGACCTTTGATCAAACCCTTTTGCTAGCACAATGCCGCGGAACTGTGACTATTCCTAGCAAGGGGCCTTTTCTCGCTGAATGACTCACCAGTGATCTTTGAATGCAGACAAGTTCCTAGCCCTCCCTCTTCATTAGCGAGCATTTCTATACAGGCCCTATATAGTGCGCGGAGTCTAGGAGCTATACAATTGGGGGGAAAAAAGAATCCCTACAGATTCTGGCCTCTACTTAGGAAGTGCTGAAGGACTCTGAGTGACTTTATTCATTAAAACAGGTTGCTATTAATTAACTGTCATAATAAAATAAAGAGCCATTATTTGCATTTCTTAGTGCACTCCCTTTAGTAATATGTATAAAAGATGCTTGTAACAAAAATGAATTTATAAGGGGGAAAAAAATCCCTCAGAAGTCTCTTTTTTTTTCCTCTCCTGCCCTCCCCACCCCCCCTCTTTTTTTTTTTTTAAGGTTTAGGCAGCAGGAGTCTGACTAATTATTAGGCCCAGTTCTGCAAGAGAACAAATAGAGGTAAAACACAAATATGAAAGTAATTAGGAAAATGCAAAATCCTGTTTACTTGGCAACCGATTCATGCAACTGAGACTAACGAAGAGCAAATCAGCTTTGCTTGTTTGATAAACTTAAGGGTGCCACCTAAGAGGCGCTGATAAAAATTAAACTTCTGCCAGCATCCCTCAGCACTGCCTTTCAGCGCACAGGCTTAGCAACATCCATGCCACTGCTCCGTACAAAAGCACCAGCAAATCTAATTTGAACAGATTCACCGAGAGGAATTTGTAACTTCTGCCTCTGCTAAATGTTTTCACCTTTGCAATCTGGCATCAGTGATATCTTCAAGCCAAACATGCAACACCCCCTCTACACACACACACACATTACACACAGCCGTAAATTCACAGGCACGCAGAGGGTGCAAATGGAGCGATTCCAACTATATCTGCTTTCACCCCCTAAAAAGCATCACGTTTCCACCACGGTTCACACCTGGGAATGCGTTTGTCTGTGGGAAAATTCCTCCCTAGTTGGCATTGCTACTTGCTCCAATATATTATGATACGTTACTCAAAGCAGGCTGCAGGCTTAGGTACTTTTGTGCAACCCCTCTTTTCTCCCGAGTAGATAGTGGAATCCACAAAAGCTTCCAATTATTTCAAGACTATACTGCTAAGGAGGGGCATCTCATCAAGATAAAGAAAACCCTCGGCTCAGTATATTTGCTTGAATGGATTTTCAATAATGCAGGTAACAAAAGCATTCAAAAATGGGATTCCTAATGCTTTTCTGCCGGGCTGAAGGACTGATTCGGAGAAGGGAGAAGAAAGCCCGCCCTGAGAAAGCCCCGCAGAGGAATGCGGGATATTCTCCCGCTCTCTACAAACACTTCTGCGGGAATTGACAAAATGGAAGAGATTTAAGTGAGGCCTGAAATGTAGCCGATTGCGAAACAAAGAGTTCAAATGACACCTCTGCAGCGCTCCGCTGCATCCTCTCCCTCCGCCGCGGCGCGGGGCAGCCCAGGACCCGCGGGTTCAGCTGTTACGGCGCGTTTCTCATCGGCTGTTCGCTGGAGACCAGGAGGAAACTGCTCTGGAAATGGTACTATGCAAAGCAAATCTGAACGAGGGGGGAAAATAAACAGCATTCCCTTGTAGGCCAGAGATAGAGATGGCTACGCAGAAGCTTGACTTTTATACAGAGAGCGTTTAGTCAAAGTGTGGCACTTAGAGGGGAGAAGGAAAGACAGGGACATTCCTACTGCTAAAGGGACCTAGGATTAGGATCCTATTAGGATTAATAACCAAGCGAGCCCAAATCTGCATGGACAGATCCCACACAGCACCCAAACCGCAGCCAACATTCACGGGACAGAGCACATGGATGCGACCCCTTCCACTCGTCCCAGGGTGCCACAACCTTTCAGGAGGTGCTTCCCTGTCACTCGAGCTTTACACAAGTACCTCTCTCTTCTCTGGAAGTTATACTAACCCAGATTAAATCCCGCATGGCAGCAACTTTTCTCCTATAATAATAATAATAATAAAACACACTAAAATAGGCCAAGATCTCATGGAACTACAGTGCTAAGTGTGAGAAACTTGGCAATCCCACGTTGCCACCTCCAGTACCTGCCGGAGGTGGCAGGGCAGAGCAGAGGCAGCAGCGAGGGAGCAAGCCCTGGAGGGAGCTGCTCTCCCTTCCCCGGTGCAGGATTCGCACCGCGGCCCCTCCGCCAACCTGGTGCTGCTCAGGAGATGCCTCATCCTGCCCCTGGCATCAGGGCGTCTGCAAGGAAAACGCTGCTTTCCTGCTATAGGAAAACTGGCATCCTACACCAGGATAAACTTCATTGCAGCAGCACATTGCAAAGAGCATTCCCCAGAGGGCAGGCACGGCTGGAAGGGCTGGGTTTGTGCTTAGCCTCCCATCTCATGGCACTGTCACTCCATCCGTCCCCGGGCAGACTGTACCTGCAGCAGGTCCCCACACAGCCAAGTGGCACTGCGTGGTCAGCAGAGCTCCACAACACGCCTGACCTGACAAAAACCTACCTGTCGTGTGCTGGTGTGGACCATAAAACAAACAGGCACAGCCCGAAGAAAACCTCTGCAGAAGATCTTGTTGCTCAGTAACAAAACAAACATTTAAGGGATAAATAACGCTTTTTTCTTTTTTTTTAATCTATATAGGGCCCTGCATTTGTAAACTAACTTAAAATCTTCACAGTATTGTAGCCTTCATGGTCTTCTTCAAAAAGAAACCCCTCCTTTTTTAACCCTGGTAGTTTATTTTGCAATGCGCTTCCCCCATATAAAACAATACAAAATGTTCACTTGAACAATGGCAGAGAACAAACAACAGTACGTTTCGACAAGGGTGATCGCACGTGATTTCTTCTTTGCTGTTATTTCTGTTGCCTTTTAAAGCCATGCTCATGTTGTTCATGACTAATTCAATGTTCTCTCCCAACTTCAACATTTTGACGCTTCAGAAAGCACGTCAAAACAGACTCTATGCAGTTTGCTGCTTCAGATCTTTCCTTTTCATTTTCCTCAGCACCTGCAGTTCTTTCTTCAGGTGTTTTACAGCCCGCAGAATATCCCGTCGCTGGGGATCGTCCTCTGCTTTCTCCGTGTACAGAAGGAAATGTTTAGCAGTTTCAGAGAGCAATGTTTCCTGATCCACATCCACCTCCTGGAGATGCAACATCCTTTCACAAGCTATCGCATAGTTTTTGTGCCAGTTTACTGGATGCTTTGGATGAGAGTCGATAATTTCTTTGTACAACTATTAAAAGACAAAAAAAGAAAAAGACAAGTTAATTAAAGGAGGAGAAAAAGAGATCTTAAAAGCAGATCAAAACTGTCCATAGTTTTTAAAAGGACAGATGCCAAATCCAGAGTCAGAATGTTTCTGAAAATCCGTGTTTGCCTTGCAGTGTGCAATAGGGTGAACCTGAATCTCAACAGGGGACTAAAATGTTTCTAGACAAACATCTGCTCTAGGAAATGAAGTGTTACAGGTGGCTGAGATAACCTCACTGCGCATTATGCACTTCCTAAGCAGAGATGTTACATTGGATGAGGGGAAAGAGATCCCACTGCAGTGCCTGGAAAAACATTCACTATTCGGAGACCAGGATGTCTTCCACAAGACTTAAGCAGCCTTTTAACTGCAGAGGGAATATTCATAAGCTCAGCATCAGGCACGTGCCTGTGAACTTCACTGAGCAGAACAGCAAAAATCACCACAAAGTAGGCAAGAAGTTAAAGGAAAATACAGGTTGACTGTTTGCCAAGGTATAAAACATTCTTCCTCTCTGCTGATACACACTGCTTTGTGCAGCCATTGGCATCTCTGGCAGTGTGGCATTTCCAGAGATACCTACACTAGCCTATGTGTGTCATTCTTTGGTGTGAAATGCAGCAGAATTAATCTGCAACGAGAAGACTGTCGGATTTTACACTTGCTGGCTCGGCTGCATGACTATATAATGACAGAGGGGACAAGCGCATAGAGGGGACGTCAGGACAAGCAATCTCTTGGCATGGGCTTGGAGCCCCACACAGACAACATAATTATAGCAAAAGCAGAGTGTTGACTGGTTAGCTTTTGGCATCCTCTGTGACCGAGAGGGCAAGTAGGGATGGATAAAATCCCTGAACAAATCTCGTTGAATCTGCTATGCTTCTGGTTTGGATGAGCGAGGGAGAAGGCAGATTACAGGGCTGCCTACCTATGTGGAAACACCATGGCATTTCTATGGCACGGAGAAATTTAAAAAACGGATGGAGATTGCAGGGAGAAATCATAAGCAAAATATGCGGCTTACAGTGTAAGCAAACGTGTAAAGTTGTGATTTCATTTCTGCAGTCACACTGGCAGTTTCTGCAAGGTCAAATATAAAGAAAGCTGTTTTCATCCTAGGAAAACAAGAAAAACATCCATTATAACAACTCCTTAGCCACACTAGGTCACATCACATGATTACACACATCTTCAACATGTCCATTAAGCTCTTTAATCACATGGCAGAGTACACAAGCTGTGTGTCTACTTAAGTCTGCAGCAAAACAAATTCCTTTCCGTGATGTGTTTTCTCACTCTATAGCCAAACTACCCCCTGCTGCTTCAAGACACTCTGAGCAGAGCACAGCAGAGCACATTCGTTAAAAATAACCATCACTTTCTGGAAGAATCTATCGGAGGCAAAGCACTGCTGATCCCATTCTGCCCGTGTTTTCCTTCTAAAGCTTGACACATTCAGGTCCGATACGCTGGCGAGCCATCAATGCCCACTTGGATGCGTATTCCATGGCAGTGGGGTGGCAGCGGAAAAGGAGGAAAGCAAAGGAGCATCACCTGGCTTGCCACATCTCCTCATTCGCAACAGCTTCCCAGGAAGAGGGCTCGAATCTAAACAGGAATTAAAATAAAATTCAGTCCCTGCATTTCACCCGTTGCAAGGTTATCCTGCCCAACTCTAGCTGCTACAGGTCTCCCAGGCTGGAAAATAAATCTGTCGGGAAGCCCTTGGCAGCAAGGAATTCTGCTGATCCTGAGTCACTCCACAAAACTTCCTTCTTCTCTCTGGACAGGAGTCTATGGCACGTTATGTGTCTCACCACAGCCCAGCTATTCTCAAAGTGAGAGATGCTTTTTACCATCCATCCAGTTCAGTTCATTGCTCCTAAAGTTCTGGATGCCCCATGTCCTCAGTATCTTTTTGGCCCCTGACAACAGGGAAAACAGATCGAGTTTTAAGATCTGAATTGGACATGACTAGAAATGCCCTCTCCCTTTTAATACTATTAAGAATACCATAAGCAGATTTCCTCTATTACATATCTTAAAACACAAAAACTCTCACTAGAGCTTATGCTTAACTGTTTCAAAAGAAAAATCCTATCGCATTTTAGATTTGGCTGCAATTCTTTCAAGGATTTTCAGCTGTACCTCAGAAATACCCTTAGTCAGCAAGGTATTCATTCACATTCACAAATCTAATGAAGGCAACTGCATTCACAGAGGCCTCAAGTCCTCTGGAACAGTCTGTGTCTAGCTGGGGACAAGAGGAGTGTTAAGAGTCCCAATCCAGGCATGTCAAAGCTGTAAGTGGAACTGGACAAGCCCGAGCTGCACAAACCCCAGTAGTTGCTGCTCCAGCAGCCCTAGAGGAGAAGGCCTGGGTGCAGCAGCACTGCAGGGCCTGTGGTTATGCTGCTGGCAGAGGAATTATGAGTGAAAACGAGCAGAACTGGGTTTGTGCCTTGTACCTTCCGTAGTCTTCCGTCCAGTTATAGAGATTCCTTGTAAGACGAATCCACTCTCCCGGGTCGAAGACAACTTCAGAAGGAACCAACTTTTCACAAGCGCCCCAGGGCCAGAGCGAATAGCTCCTCTTCCAGCTCGAGTCCCCTTCGTGAAGGCCTATGCAGACAAACACCTCCTTACTGCCAAAAAACCAGAGAGAGCAGCTGTGAAGCCACGGGCAGCGCCGCACACGGGGGCCAGGCCCCGAGCTGCAGGACACGCTCTGTGGCAGACACCCACCCGGGACCACGTTGTCACCCAGGCAGCCCCGGTGACACTGAGCACAGCCCACGCAGGAGGCACCACGAGAGGAGACGTCCTCTCCATGCAAGAATGCTAAAAACACTGAGGAGAAGCCCAGTTTTCCCTGCCTGCACCTGGCAATGCTTTTCTGCCTACCCACACTTGCAAGGTTCACCCTGGCTAGTCTAAACGCAGCTGCTATTCTTATGCATGCAAGTATCTAATCCTTTCTTCACTCCTACTAAGCTATTTTTATATGATGATTATTCTTGGAATACATTCATTCTATGCTAATAAGTTGGCCACAGTGTTCACGAAGGAGAAGCAGCAGCAATTTGCTCTCCAACCACAGTCATTTTGAGTACACAGGAACATTCCTTTTTAGGTGATGAATGGTTTCAACAGAAAAATAATAAAATCACTAAGCATTCTCTGCCAGTCACCTTCTTAGTTTTCCTTCCTAAAAAAAACAAACCAATCTCTAAACAACAAGAAACACTATATCTGGATGGAGTTACTCCTGCTTAGATATTTGCTTTAATTGCAAAAATAATCTCACCACCAGGGAAGAAGTCAGTGGAGAAAATTGGTCTTTTGGATGCAGTACCAAGCTGTTCCATAAACAATTTCAGGAAAAGAGGTTGAAGATTTTAGGAAAGCTGTTACATATGAAAGAAATGCTTACTGTTTATTTACTTTGAGGAAACGATGGAGATTAAAAACAAGTGTCCCATCGGGTAATACTCCTTCCACAGGATTCCACTGTTTTCCAGGAAAATGAATGCCAGGTAAATGCTTTGCCAGCTTTGGTAAATACCACTCATAAGTCATCATCTATCACCAAAACATTAGCAAAATTAAAACAAGAGTCAAGGTTTTCATCAATTTTACATCCAGAAGTGTAGCAAGCTGTTTCTGCACGAGTAATGAGCAGAATTTGTTCGTTCAGGGTCACCTCCCACTCCAGCAACTGTCTGGGATCCCACCAGACCAGAATACCAGTGGTTCCTGACTAGAGGCACAAAGCTTGAGGGGGAAAACCCGATAAAAGAGACAAAACGGGGTTTTGGTAAGACTAAGTATTAGGCTATGGTTTTGGTTTCGTCAACCAGAAATAAACCCTCATTGCAAAGCCAAGTCCAGGCACTGATGTAGCAGCATAAGGACAAGCTTTGGAAGGTTTCTTTTCTGCTTTTTAAACCTCTCTCTGTTACCTCTTCCAATAACACTCTTTGACCCTACCTCCTGGTCCACTAAAGTGATATCTGGCCTCATCCCTTCGCAGTAATGAACGTAACGAAGAGCATTCCCGGGCAAGTCTCCTCGCAGCAAGACCACGGCCCCCGTCGGCATCGAGGACAGCAGGTTCTTTGCAAACTTATCAACAACGTAATTGCTGCTTTGATCACAAGCACTTAAAAAGAAGAGAGGAAAAACAGTGTATCTTAAAAATGCATGTTTGCATGGCTTTGAGTTTCTTCAGAACGGTTTTATGCAACAGGCATCCACAGGAAACCAGAGCAAGTCCCTTGCCCCTGCTTAGATCTTGCTGAAGAGCATCATTGCTGAGAAGCCATGACACAGAAATGAAGTATTTAGCCTGAAGTCCCTCAGAAAACAGTAACAGAGATATTAGCCTCTACTTTTGACAAAATTCGCACTCATTGCACACCTTCATCTTAATTCTGATTTTTTCTTGGCCTAAACCTACTGGATTATTAGTTGGAACTGGAAGTGCCACTATAATGTATTAAAAAAAACCCCACAAATTCTTGTACGATGAAATAGAAGTAGATTTACATTACCTGAGATTAGATCCTTTTACACAATCACGTGTGGACCCAAGAATGGGACATTACACAAGTGGCTCAAGGCAGATATGGACAGGACTTTGTGAGAAGGTGTGCACAGAGGAAGGATTCATTCTTAGGCAGCCCATGTGCTCTACACTTCACCATCTGGAAAACCTCTCTACTGGCCCTACTACTACTCTGATTTTTCTCCAAACCACTGGCAAATCTTCAGCATGGCTATGGGATAAGAACGCCCTCTACTAGCTCCTCATAAGGAAAAAATAAAGAAAAAAAAAAACCTAGGGCACAGCGAAACCTGAAGCAAAGCAATTGAAACAGACAATGACTGTTCAGTCAAATGCATTCTGTAAACTGTAGGAAAGAAAAATTTAGAGCTTTCTTTTATGAAATATTTATACTACTACATGGTTTTCTTCCTTCAACCTGTAACATACCCTGGTTTACAGCCCTGGTGATATCAAGGAAACCAAACAAGGCAGTAGGGCAGACTCCATTCCTGCAGCCTGTGACTTCCCAAGCTTAGATGGGAGCCTTGGTTTATGCCATCAAGAGATCAGGGAGGACCAGCGAGGGTGGAAAAGATGTGATCAGAGGGATTTTCTTTCCGTGTCTCAGAGAAAGGGCATCAAATTGACCCGCTTACACCCTGCTCCTGGCTGAGGACCTGCCTCAGAGCCTGCAGTCCCCCCTCTACCTTGAACCTTCAGCTCTACTGGCTTTGCCAGTGGATGAACAGCCCTCTGTCCCCCCAGCCCCGTGCCTCCAAATGCCCCTTTCCCTTAGAGACAACGCTCCCGGGGTACCTGTTACCTGTAATTGGCCCAAATCTGACAAGCAACAAGGGCGAGAGCCGAAAGCCACTGCAGGGCGGGCGGCGCGCGGCACGTCCCCAGCGCGGCGCTTCCGAGCGGGACGAGCCGGGCGAGCCCCAGGCCCGCGAGCACGGCGACCGCGGCGTTGCTCTGCATCCAGAACCGCTCCACCTGCGGAACAACGGAGCGCGTGGCCACGGGACATTCAGGAGGTGCTTTACTGCACATGGGTTTATTTAGGGCATGTGGAGTTTCCGTCTTGGAGATCTCCAAGGGCCGCCTGGACGCAGTCCTGTGCCACGTGCTCTGGGTGACCCTGCCTGTGCAGGGGGTTGGACTAGATGATCCCTGGAGGCCCCGTCCAACCTTAAGGATTCTAGGATTCTATGTTTATTTAGGGCATGGGCCACGTTTTCAGGATGGGATGGTCTCTGGGCTGAAAAGCTCCAAATTTAAGGACAAGGATTAAAGAAGGGGAACAGACAGGGGATGAGTTTTAATCACATTTTAATCACACATCCCATTTCCAAATTTGCAGAGATCCTATTTCTGCTTCCCCAGTTATATGGGGTTGTATTTTTGCACCTAAGCTGCACCAAGGCAACCACTTGCTCATGATTATAAGGGGCCAACTAGTAGCCAATAGTAGCCAACTAAGCAAGCAACTTTGCAAAAATTAACATCCCAGAGCCATTTTTGGAATGAGACTCACCACACCCATAAACAGAGGCTTTGTAATATCCAGATTTGCCCTCCAAGCAAAGAACAGGGAGTAAACACAGAGCATTCCAGTGAAGAGCCAGATCACAGGCAAGTTCTGCCGCTCTGTCCTAGAGAAAAACAACAAAATGTTCTAGTGGCATGTTAAAAAGGAGACAAAAGTTACATGCACGTGAAAACAACTACCTCAGCACATGTAATACTGGGAATTAGGCTAGATCTATTTTGGCATAAGGCAGGAAAAAGCACCCCAAAAGATCACCATGAAAATTGCACATTGGAACAAGGATTCTCCTCCAACTTACGTCAGGGCTGCACTTAAACAGGCCACGAGCGCCAGGGCGAGGACAGCAAGGGAGAGCTCAGACTTCATCTGCGTCAGCTGAAAACTGTGGAGAAATTAATGCACATCTGCCTCAAATCGCCCCGGCACCAAATTGAAGTGTCAAGAGAAGCAGGGAATAAGGACAACATAACATGTTCTATTCTCCTGTGATTAAGTCTGCTGGAAACGGGAACAAACCTATTTTTTAACTTCAAAGTTTTAATGAAACATCGCTGGGGAGAGGGAAACCAGCATTTTGACTTCAACAGGGAAGCCGGCTGGACATGGGCACGTTGTCCCAGTGCCAGATTTGCCCATTCCTCCCTCATCTCAGGGACTCGGCTCTGAAAAAAGCCAAGGTGACTCAGAAAAGCAGTTACCTGGACAAAAGCAATGGGGGTTGCAATAGGTTTCTCTCAACTAGAAGGTGAAATCAAGGTTTTACTCACACCAATATCTCTCCCATACTGGATCCTGTCTCTGCTTTGGCCTAGATAAAAAAAAAAAAGAAAAAAAGAAAGAAAAATAGTGAGAAACCCACACATGGACTGACATATCACTGGGGCAAGGAAAGTCTTCTCAGTTTGTCTGCAGCACCCTGGGCACAAGGGGCTGCTCCACAACCCCCCAGGTGCACCTTACTCAAACCTTCATTGCAATATTTTCTTCCAGGTTCTCGTTTTCAACCATGGAAGGCTGCAGGGTTTACTGAACATATTGGGAATATCTTACCCGCCACAATCTCCACTATATTGGCGCAGTGGCAGCCCGGGAGCCCTTGCAAGAAAAGGGGTTGCTGAAGCTGTCAGAGCATGCACTGAAATGCCAGCCCTGCCTGCTGGGTAGCAGAGGCAGGACGCAGCCACTGTGTGCACAGGACATCATCTACACAGCCAATAGATGAGTTAAATGATAAGTAGAATCCTTTTTTTTTTTTTTTTTTTTTTTTTTTTTGTCCTGATGCTGCAATTTCCCATTCCTGTGCACTGAATTCTCTGAAGTGGGATGGGAAGAAGTCTTGGATGGCTGGAATCCCGAAATTTACATTAGTGCTGGAGAAGACAGATGCAAACCCTGCGCTCAGCAAACGGCTATATGTTACCTCCCTTATTTGCAAGAGCAGACAAAATAATTCTGATCAGAGGAGAGACCCCCAAATCTATCATTCCTTTCAATAAAGTATTACTGAGGGGTTAAGAGGAATTCCTTTTTATGGTAAAACAATAAAAACTTCTTCAGACCTTTTAAAATAGCTGAGGTTAAAATAATAAAAAGGTCATTTATCTTAAAAAAGAGAAAAATACGAAATTGATGTTACCACCTTTCTCTAGCACAGCTTGCTCTTTGTGATATTACGTACACAAAACACCTGCATAGTTCCCAATAAATAATATGACTCATCCCATAAAGGTAAAGAGAAGGATTTCTGTGGTTTACCTGCCATCTGATCTACTCCCAGTAAACCTGACAGATCAGTAGGTGGGAATCATAAATTCTAAAGAAGCAAGGCTTCCAGTTTCTTCCCCTACAAGCTGCTAATATCATGGATAGGAATGTTCTGCTACAGCGTAACTTCAGGAGAAAGTCTGTCAGAAAATGACCCGTATTTACCAGACTGAACGTCCCATATTCTTCCCTGAGAAAGTGGGTCAGAAATCCTTGGAAAGTCGTCTGGTCTCCCCACGTCCAACGGGCTCGATTGAGGTAGGACGAAGCCGGCAGATAGAGATAAGGCAGCAAACCAGCCACGAAGCATAAACCCAACTTCAGCAAATGGCCTAGGGACAATTCCTGCACCAAAATATGCCATATTGCATAACAATGTTTATTTTAGTTTAATCACGCTGGAACTTCAAGAACAGATAAAGAAAAAAACATCAAATATATTTACACAGAGCTGATCTCTCAATTTATAGTAAGTCCCTACAAAATGCTATGTTAAACCTTACGATTTTGTGGATTACCAGGAAACTGCATCAAACTGATCTCCTTTGCATGGCAGGGTGAAATTTAAGTGAAGCAAATAATATTAGCTAGGACTCATGAGTATCATACTCATTGCATCTTTCACATTTAAATCATGGCATGACATGCATAGATGGCTGAAGCACTGCAAGGCTGAGATAACCCACTTTGCAGTGATTAAGAGTTGGCTGGTATTCCATCTGGCAAAAAAAAATGCTGCTCTAGTACAACTACACACATCATCACCATCATCAGAAGTCAGTTTGCCATTTACTTTATCATGATGGTTAAATGGATAAATTGGATAGGCCAACTTTTGGGGTGGGATTTTCAAGACTGCCTAAGGGGTCAGGAAGACAAGACTTTCAAAGGGACTTCTGTGCCTAACTCCTTTAAGTGCTTTGGAAAATCCCACCCTAGAATATTGCACGCTTGCTTTATCATCAGCCCCTGCCGTGTCAATCAAAGCACTTCCTTTAGTATTTGGGGTTATGCGGGAGCGACACCATTCAGTGACAATCTACAAAGCAGAAAAAGTAGCTTGATAAAGTTGGCTGAAATTCCTCCAGCAGGAAGGCTGCCCTTTTTTTTTTTCTTTTTTTTTAACTGAAAGGCACCACATTCAGTCAAATATCCATGGTATTAGATGGCTTTCTGCAGCAGCCACGACTGCCCTATCTGAGGTGTTTCCAAGGAACGTGGCACCGGCACAGCACTCGCTGCTGCAACTCACAGTGGTCTCTCTGGGCTTCCCAGATGGAAAAAGGCTCCATCTAAAGAACACAAATATACTGCAGAAGGGCCTCAACATGTTGTCAAATGAAACACGGAGTCAAAAGGGGTTTGGTGACAGAAAGATTTTGGAGCAAGGTTGTCTTGAGCTGCATTTCATCTCTTGGGCTTCACCCCAAGAGCTTGGGCTTCACCTTGGGCTTAGGTATAACCTGTACTGTTGTCCTAGTTGATTTATCAGGTTGCTGCTGGAGAAAGAGGCAGAACTGAAACAGCAGCAGCCTGAACTGCTGTCACCCTCAGGAGTAACGGGAAACCAGAAGGGAGAGGTAGATCCTTCCCGGGGTCCTTGGTCATGTCATTAGAGCACACGTTGTCTTCCAGGTAAGCAGCCCTTTGCAGGACAAACTGGACGTCCTGCAGCACATCTGCAGTCTGCTGGACACAGGGACTGAGAGCAGGTCACCTGGGCAGACAAGGGCAGTGTCCAACCTGTGCATGGGACTTTGGAGCCTCGTTCAGAGAGAAGCACTGCACCTCGGGGAGCGGGACGTGCAAAGAGGCTGTTTTCACCTTGTTACCCAAATGAACAAGCTTAAAACTGCCTAAAGGATCCCAGCAGTTCAGCTGGACATCCTCCGAAGGGGATCTCTGGTGGGAGCCCTTTTTTTTTCTGCTGTGCTGCTCGTTCAGGCTGCATCTTTGACTGCTGAAAGCCTCAGAAGGTGCCTGAGGCTGCGCAGTGAGAGCTGCCACTCTCCTTCACCACCACGAGAGAGTCAACATGCAGAAACTCACCTGGCATCACGAGAAATCCTGCACGGGCGGCTGGGGCAAGCAGAGACCCGACTGCTCGTGCCCATGACACCTCACCAGCACGGTCCTCTGCGTGTTTACTCATCTTCCAGTTTGTGGTAGGTCATGAACACACTCTTGTCTCCTACCCACCAACCCATTTTTAGCTGTCAGTGTCGTGACAGCTTCCTTGGTATGTTGCAAACAGCTGGGACCTCGTTCATCCCATGCCAGGATGAACAGACAGGTCGCAGACTCTCCCATGAGTGACAGCTCCAAAGCCCCTAACACGTAATCTGCAGCTCTGATGTCAGACTGATGGACTGCAACTCCACTGGATTATGACTGACGAGTTTAGACAGGCCATTAACTGTCACTGTTCATACCTCGACGCTAAGAGCAATGCAAGCGCTTGGAAAGAAGAACGAGCTGCTTTGAAAGAAGCTACAAGAGGCGTGAGTCAGCAAGAGGCAAAATACCTACCGCTTTTTGGAAGAGCCTGAAGAGAACCCAAGGCACAATACAAACAACGTAGAGCACAATTGTGTGCTGATTGCACAAGCTTAGGCCACAGCAAAAGGCACCGAATTTGGAGATCTGGAAGGAAGGAAAAAGAACAATCAGAGTTTGCAAAAATATCCAGGAATCAAAACAGCTTCAACACAGCCCAAAGCACCCTTGCACAAGAAAGGCAGACACGCCACTGACCACTAGCCAACTGTGACACACACAAGTTATTCTATTTACAGAAAGATGTTATTTGTTTTACTGAAAACTTAAGAAATGTTAGGCTGAGCAGCTGACCAGCTATTTCTCAGTGTACACAGAGATTTTAAGTAATATTATCATGCTGTAATGATGTAGTCTATAAATGCAAAATCACAGCAATCAGTCATGGGAAGACGACCACTTTACAGACCTGCCATGTGCTGGGCAGACCCCAAGTAACTCCGGACTGCCCCACATTTCACAATCCCCCCAAAGATGGAATTTCCCTGGAGCTCTCCTAGCCTGTCCCCAGGGTACCGCTGCCCCTATGAACCATGAGAGCAGGAATTGGGTACTGCTGGGAAGGGGAAACAGCCAAGCAGTGGCTCCTTTTTATTTGTTTTCCAGAAATAATACCCCCAAATAACATCATTATTATGCACAGAGACATCATTTTAAATAACAAACAGGACTGTTTCCTCTTTCTTGGGCACAGAAGGTTAAAACCAAGGCTACACAAGCTTCCTAGGCAAAGGAAATTTCATGCAACAGATCTCACTAGTCTAAAAACTCCATTGAGAGCATCTCTGAAAGTGTTTGGGGTAAAATAGGTAGTGCACCCAGGCTATGCTGTTCCTGGCACCCATTCAGGATTATTCACTGCTATCATGGCCACCCTGTCACACACTAATAGTGGCCTCTTTCCATGCCCTGGGGAAACCCCTTGGTGACAAAAAGCCCTCAGAGGCCCAAACAGGACAACGAGACAAATTTTTCAAGTGTGTTCGTGAGGTCTAAGTGCTGCCCTGAAGATGTCTGCAAGGAGGCCTGGTTTCTGACAAGGGTTGAGAACTTCCTCTTTGAAACGCGGCCTCCTCAAGATGTGGAAAGCAGGACACCCCCAAAACCAAAAGCCCTAAAACTAACTCATTAACTGCTTCTGAAAATCTCCTTTGAAAATCCCATTGGGCAAACAAATCATTGAAGCAGTTTGGGAAATGCCCAACTCCATCTTTGCAGAGTTCAGGTATTAGGGATCCTGGGACAGGATGGATCAGAAAACAGGAAAAAAAAAAGCAGCCATTTAGAGGCAACAATAAAACATGTTATTTGAGAAGTCACTAAGCTGAGTAAACTACCACTCTGGACTCCTGAAATACTAGGGTAGCCCCACAAAAATCGTTTTATTCACACAATTCATACAAGTCACAGCAGGCAAGGCTGCAAGAGAAGAGGTGAGATGTTCAGGCAAAAAGCAACAGAAAGAACACAATCAGTGAGTATCATAAAATCAAAATATCATTTAAATGCATGGTCTTTCTATAATGTAGCAAAAGTAGCATGAAATTTAAGGTCTCTGTATTTAATAATGCCATTATTTTAGGGGCACATCTCATTTCAAAAGACTATGCATGGAATCGCATAGAACTGATGGAAAATTTGCTCTTTTCTGGTTTTTAGTAGATACTTAGGTTTTCAACTTGATGAAGATTTCAGTAAGATGCAGCTGCAAAGTCTCAGGAAACACATCGGCTCTTAAAACAAAAGTTTAAATGCTCACAGCTTACTCTGAGTGTCTAACACAGGAAAATAAACCTTGCACCAACAGATTGAAGTGCAAATGATTTTGGTTTTCCTCTTTCCACTCCATGTAGTTGTAAAAAACAGAAAAAAATCCCACCCCACAAGGTCCAACTTCATTCTTAAACAGCATGGACAGATATTTAAAGGTTTAGCACTTTTCAAAGCCCAGGTAGGCCAGGAATCAACATCCCTGTGAAAAGGTACTGAACGCAGCCCCAAAACCCAGCCTTGCCAATTTGATGAAAGCTAAATTGCTGCAAAGTGACTAGGAAATTAAACAGATGCACGATAACTAATTGAAAAAGAATAAAGAACTATTCACTTTGCTGAAGATGTTTTTACCTTTGATCTCTCTTTCGCAGTGGATGCCTCCTCAAAATGCGCCGTGAGAGCCATAAGCAGCCCCACAAACAGATTGTTTAAGCTAAAAACCTCTGCTGCGATGGACCACTGCCATGTTAGACGAGAAAATGAAAACACCCCCGCAGCAAGGATTCCTCCAGCATATGAGCCAGAAAGCCTGCAAACACAGATAACATGAAATCTTCTTTTCCAACAAAAAAGCCTACTTTATTGTCCTTTTTTTAAAAAAAAAACATACTGTAGCAGCAGAAATTATGACTGCCACCCAGCACCCTTCCAAAACATTATATGGTTAATATCTGCTTAATAATTTCCTTACACAAAATTAAAATTAGGGAGCCATCCTGTGTATCTGCAAAGCGCCGACCGCAGCCTCTCAATAGCAATGGCTTGGCTTTGCCTCTCAAGCATTATGGAAACTTGCAGCATTGAAGTCAGTTCAGAAACCCTGATGAGCAAGGACATCGTGGGCCTTGGTATTCCAAGCCAGAGAGTCATGCCTTTAACGGGATACACTCGGCTGGAGGAAACACGAGCAACGGTGCAACCTTAAATTCATCAAGACACTGAATAGAGTGGATTAGGGCTACTCGTGAGGGACAGCATTAGGAGAGCTTTCCCGGTGAGGAGGTTTGAGGTTCTTGGGGTTGGAGTGCCGAGGGCCCCAGAGCGAAATGTGGAGCTGGGAGAGAGGCCAAGGGAAGAGAAAACGGGGGTCGGCTCCAGCAAACAGGAGAGGTAGAGGAAAAGGACGGAGCAGCCGGCGCTTGGACGTCTCCCCTGGCACAGCTGGGCCCTGCCGCAGGAATCGCCGCCTCTGTGACTCCCAGATTGGATTACGGGGCACGCTCCCCACGGAGCCACTTTCCCAAATCGGCTGGACGCGGCCGCTGGCGCAGGGAGCCCCCGGGGTGGGATTTAGCCCAAGAAATCTCTTACATGGGGTCTTCAAGAGCGGCTCTGCCTCCCTGGTTGTGTTAAGTTCTCTGCAGGCCAAGTTCTCTACTGTGACCTCTAACAAAACTTGGCTGCTTAGGGGAGCTGCTCCCTCACGAAGCCACCTTGAAAAGATGCCACAAAGGCTACCACAACTGCATGTCCTACTCAAGGACACCTGAGCTGTGAGACTGAGCCAGCCTTTATGCAACGCCGGGATTTTTCTTGTTAGAGGTGTCAACCGCTCCTCCCCATTACACTCCCTTCCATTTAGACTTTGCATTTTCAAAAAGATCTTTTGTTTCCAATAAAGTTTAAAACAGAATTATTACACACTCACCGACCTGTTCATCAAGCTCGCTGTACCAGATGCTGCTAAATACTGACAACACCCTCTACCACAACCAGAGAAATGTCCCAAGGCTACTCAGCCTGGCTGGCATTGCCCATGAGGGACTGTGAGCAGTGGATATCCACCTAACATTTGCTTATGGGGTTCTTCACAAGTCCTCACTTTGAGATAAATGAAGACCACAAAAGCAAAACCTCTAGGCCCTGTGAACAAAAATGAGGGAGTTGGTAGAACACTCACTAGAAAGGAGACCTCTCCTTGGTTATCTTTGCCTTTTCTACTTCTCGGGAACAGCCTAAGCAGGGAGCAGTCTTTCAAGCACACTAAAAAAGCCAACATAACGCAGGAGATGTTAAAGAAGAATCCCTACAGTTTGGACTGGAATTTTTAGTCCATTAAAAAATAGGAGGAGGTTCATGAGGTTCATGACGAAGAGAGGATGGCATGAAGACTTGGGAAGAGCAGGTCTCCATACCCCGTTCTGCCACTTCACACATTGGATGGCCTGGGATAAGCTGCTCCATTGCTGCTGCCCCAGTCACCTCCTTCCACAAAACAGGACTTTTTTTTTTTTTTTTTTTTTTTTGGAAAAGTGTTTTTAGATCTGCTTCTGCCAAGGCATAGCAGGAGGGTGAGAAGCAAGGCAGATGATTAATACTGGAGAAAAAGCAACCAACTATCAGATATTCATGCCCAACCCAAATCAAGCAGATATTATTTGCTGGCAGGGACGAAGCCCAAATGCAAAGTCTAAATCATTTACAAAGCTGCTTTTATTTGCAGAAGGAGGAGCAGGTTAAGATGTTGCAAGGGGATCTCAGAAGTCCTGGTGACAGAGCACTGAAATCTCAAGGTGGCGAAGTGTTTCAGCATCGAAACTGTTGGAAGGGATCTTGTAAATCAACAGGAGGGGAAAAGTTTGAAAATTCCCTAAGGACGCTAACTGAGACTGTTCTGTACCAAATCTGATCCTGCGAAGGGCCTTATAAACTCTGAAGAAAGCAGATACAGAATCTTTTCAGAAAATAAAAGGGAAAAAAAATCAGACAACTTTGAAATATCTCCTGTTGCCAGCTAAAGTGCCCTGGCGTGCTGGACTGACCGCTCCTCACCCTGCCATCGAGGACACTCCAACTCAGCCCTGTCACTCACACCTTTCTACACAGTAATTGGATCATCGGATTATTTCTTCGTGGTGAACACTAACATGCCTATAAGATGAGCTGTTACATCCTTATCTGAGTCCACAGGGTAGCGAGGCCTCGTTCCAACGGGAAGCTCCGGCTCTGCAGGCGCGGGCGGGAGGAAGCGCCGCGCGGGTTGCTCGGCCAGGCCCTTTCCTGCCCTTACCCAGGGCTGCGAGACCAAGACGGGGTTTGAGAACCATCATTTGCCATAAAAACCCACCCTGCTGAGGGCGAGTTGTGCTTTCTGTGGCATCCAGGCAGCTTTGACTTCAACACAGCTCCCGTGATCCGATTCGTACCGGTGTAGCTGGCTGCTCCATCAGAACGGGCAATGCAGCCTAAGAAATTCAGTCATTAAAGTGATGATTAATACACCAAAGGTCCTTCAGGATTTGCTCATGTCTCCCTAATGTTTCACTGATGCTCACTACTGTTTCACCACTGCAGCAGGCTCTGTAGGTCTCCTCTGATGCATAAACACCCCTACCCTTCAATTCTGAGTGTTTGGCAAGAAATTCTTCAGAACAGGCCCTGTTGCTATTCAAAAAACAAAAAATACCTCAAACAAACAAACAAAGAAACCCACCCCCAGAAAAGTGGCCTTGAGAGCTCAGATTTTTTTTTCCTCCTCTCTTTAAGCAGAAAGATGCAGAACTCCATCAGAATAAGGAAAAACAGGAGGAGTCTTCAGGACTTAACACAAGTTGTGGCTCCTTCTCCTGAAGGAAAATAGCAGGGAGTGGAAGCCAGGCCATGTATATCTAAAAAACAAAGGAAGGAAAGATCCCCTTAAACTCCAATCTCACTACACAACATCCCTAAGGTTTGACTAAAACCTTTTAACAGCTACACTGAGAGGATGAACTTTTAGTTATAAAAGAACCGAAACTTTCTAAATCCCTTTGGAATTGTTGCAGAAAAATGAAAGAGTGAAGGCAACACAACTTTCCCTAATACTTTTGGATGAAAACCAGCGCTTGAGACAAACCTCCCCATCATTAACCAATTCTTTCCTGGCGGAAGACTCAGAAAAGTCTCCAGTGTATTATCAGAGCTCAAATGAGATTAAAGGACTTCTTTCTTTTTGAGAGAAAGTCTCAAACCCAGGACTCAAGTTTTATGAAGAAGGCTTAAACAGAAGCTACTAAAAACTAAGCTTAAAGATTTATTGCAAAGGGCAATAGGTGGGGCAGGGGACATCTCTGCTCACCGTATGATCCGCAAGCAATGCAAAGTGAGGATCCAGAACCAAGTAGGGGCTAGAGCTATTTTTTGTACAAAGAACCAGCATTAGGTTTTGTTTCCTGCTTTGAAGCTCATAGTTGCAGATCTAGAACCCACCATTTTCATAACCAGACCCAAGCCATGACACACTTCACCGTCTTAGCCCATCTCCCACTTCACATCATAGCTGGCTAGGCAAGAGGGGTGTCAAGGACCTCAGCAGGGAGCCCACATCTGTGCAGCAGGAAGGAAAGTAGCTCGTCTTGCCCAAGAAAAGTCACAGCTACTTTGAATAAGTGGGAATTCAGCTCAGTTTTCGTCACTCTTTTTTGTTTTCGCGCTCTTGGGGAAGCTGGGCCGCTGCACGCGCGCAGCGCTCAGTTCCTACACACACAGTTTATCCTAAAAATTAACTGAACCTTGTAGCATCCTGGAAGGCCATCAGGACACCAGCAATGGAAATGATGGACTTTACTGACTCGGAAGGAAATACTCTGGGAAGAGGAAGCAATGGGAAAGGGATCCTGAGGAAAAAGTAGAATAAAATCAAGCAGTTCTGCCCAATGCATCATCAAAGTAGACGACTGCAGTAGAAACGACTGCAATACAGCTGCATCAGCATGGTGCTGGGTCCAAACTAAACTGGATCTGCTGAGAGGCCGAGTTAATGTGGTTATCCTGCTCATTTGGATTCAAAAGAGGAGCTTCACATACCATTACACTGCGTAATCTGACAGCCCTTTGGACTTCTCTACAACAGTGTGGCACCGCATTGTGCCACCGCTGCCTTGGTGCCAAGAGGCTGTTTATCCTCATAAAATCAGACAGTGTCCAAGGAGGTGACAAGGCAGTTCAGCCAGAGACAACACACATTAGCCACGGACAACATTCTGGGCCAAAGAACATTTTTTAAGTGGAAAAGATACTTGCAAGCATTCAGTCACATAGGGCAGAAAGACCTGAAAGAAGAGACACGAAGATGAGAATTAAATGGGGAATGAAAGAATTGAAAGACCAAAGAGATGGGAGAGAGATTTGAACCTGAGGACAAGAAGCTTGAAACTGTTAGAGAGAAGGGGGAAGGATCCACACAGTAGGTTCACAACCGAGGTGCTGTTAGCTGCAACGTGTTGTGTAAAACAGAGCAAGCAGGACGGCGGAGTCGGAAGGAAAGGGCTGCTTTAGTTACAGGCACAGACAGTATTTTAGTGGTCACGACAGAGTATGTCAGAGTACATCCAGTCATGGCTGGATCCCCAAGGGGCCTCATGTAAAAGCAACTTCTGGGTTTCACTTCTGAGAAGTGGGGAAATACAATTAAGGAGAGTAGAACTGGGCTCACCCAAAACCAGCATACTACTCCCAAATCTTTTCAGTTATTATAATAAAACCCAGCCCACTGAAACTGGAAGATCAAGGGTTTGTTAGCAGTTAAGAGATGGTGCCTATAATACGAGTTCCTCTGTCAACACAACACAGGCATCAAGCGCAACCGGTCTGGCGACTTTCCCGGGAAGAGGGCCAC